GAACCACACCAACGGCGGCATAAAGATGATGTTTAAGTGACACATGGATGAAAGGTTTTAATGATTTTGTGTTTAAATGTATATTAGAACCGATTCCTCGCTATTACACTAAATGAGATATTTCACAGACATTGTCGCTTAGAGCAAAAATCTCTCCTGTATTGCAGAGATTTTTTTTTTAAAAATAAAAAGATTAAGAAAATAACATACCCATGAGTGCTGTATTAAAACATATGACCAAGAAACATTAGTTTTCAAATGGCTGAAGTTTGAAAATCAATGGACTAATTTCTTACAACCAGAGTTTGAGGAGTTAGGAAATAACCAGTTAAGAGCCATCAATTAGTACCTGTGTCCCAGGTTCCCACTCACACTGGGTCTTCCAAAGCATGAGGCTGTATGTGCAGAGGGATAAGATTGTGCTGAGTTGGGAAACATTCTTGCAATGAGCACATACGCTAGCTTCATAAAGAGGTATGATTTTGATGTACAAATGATTTCTTTGTTGATGAATAACATTAAGCTTCCAAGAAACATCAATTCCAAGGGGGAAAGTTTTGGATTATTGCACTGTGGATAATACTTTCTTGTGGTTTAAAGTTTAGCTACATTTAAGAACTTTTAAAAAGCATTTCTAAGTTAAAAACTATAAGTTAAGGCATGTCGTATGAGAAATGAGGCACACAGGGGCAAGTAACAGAACAAGAAAACAGGGTGATTTGCTATTATCTCACCCTTTCGTGGACTGGACTGGAATTCCAATATGGCAGACAGGATGTCTGGTTAATGGGCTGGGAATAATCACAAGGTAAGCCTTACAGGAAATTATTGTTTATGGTGAGTGGGTTGGGTTAAAATTAACCACACAGGACATTTTCATTTTTAAGTTTTATTTTTTATCAAAACAAAATAGTTTAACCATATAAAGAAGGAGGAGGAGCATTCATCGATAAGAAGCCAAGTTCTTCCCCATCACAAAGAGTAGAGCAGTGAGCCCCAACAGAGCTGTCTGCCTGTGGAAGCCTGTGGAAGCAAGTGAGTCACTCTCTAGTGCTCCCAGTGGCCAGTACTGACTTTTTCCTGGCTCCTTCTCCCCATGGTGATACAATACATTCACATGTTTGTACATCCCTTCTGAGCATATTACTGCATCAGTGCAGAGTATGGAGAACACACACACACACACACACACACACACACACACGGGTTGAAATTTAGCACTCAGGATTGTTCTAGATCCCTACATCTCTATTTAATGAGTTTCAGAAGAGACAGGCAAACGTAGGGCGTTCAAAGCCAGTGCTTCTTGAACTGGGAACTAACCACTGGGGTAAAGAAAAACACACAAGCTCGTCTTGTCACAGTTGTGGGAATCTGGCCACCTCAGAGCTAGGTGGGCCATCTTCCCTCCCACCTATTAAATGACATGCCGGGCGCTGAGCAGCTGCACATTCCCGTAACTATAAAAATCTGCTGTACCAGGCAAATTTTGTGCAAAATGCAAATTTCTATGCTGGGGGGAAAATGAATAATGCTATCATTCTAAGTAATGGATATGAGTGCAAGGAAATACTTTTTGGCATGATACTGAGAATCATTTATCTTTCATGCCGAGGACGATGGTCACACGGCACTGTTGCAAAGCAAGGCTTCCTTCAGACCCCAGCTTTAGAGGACAGCATTTAGGAAAGGGAACTTCCAGTTGGTTCTAAGATACACACCAAGTTGCTGGCCACACTTTTATTAAAGTCCAGAAGATATCCGTGTGTGTGTGTGTGTGTGTGTGTGTGTGTGTGTGTCTGTCTGTCTGTCTGTCTGTCTGTCTGTCTGTCTCTCTCCCTCCCTCTTTCCTATTCCACACTCTGTCCCCCAGTCTCTCTCCTTTCCCTTCCCCTCTCTCTCTGCTCCCCCCACCACCACTTTGAAAGCAAACCGAAGATTGTCCTGGTTACTGTGAGATACGAGCCTTGGGTCTTGGGTCTTAGCTCCCTCTGAAATGCCAAGCTTGGACTTAACAGGAGGGAAGAGCTAATCCCATGGCGCCTTAAAATAAGGAGGGCCAGGCTGGCCACCAAAGTCACTCTCAAATCTTCATGAGTTGGCCAAGTGAAGAGGTGCATCTCAAAGTGTGGCCTGGCACAGCAGGTAAGAGGAAGAGTCAACAGCAGTGGCAGGCGCCATGAGCAATGGCGCTCCACGGCAAAGACTCTTTCTCATGGGCCATGCACACGCCCCTGGCGCCAACGCCCATGCAGGAAGCTGAGCCGCCTTCATGAAGGCTCAAAGGAGAAGCAGTACTGCCCAAGAACACCTTGACCTGTTGTGAGACATTGCTCCATGTGCAGTGCTGGGAATCGAACCCGGGGTTTCACCTGTGCCAGGCAGGCACTCTGCCACTGAGCTACATCCTCAGCACTGAAAACAGATGTGTTTTCCCTGGACTGTCATGTGATGTGCACTTGCAATATTGCCAAACTGTGGCAATGGTCAGCTGGTAATACCAGAATTTTATTTTAGTAACTCAAGCTGAGTTTTGGGTTTTATGGATGAATGTTTTCTCATAATATTCTTATAACCATATTTTGCCTTAAGAAAACTAGATTTATAGAAACCAGTGACTGTTATAATATATATATATATATATATATACACACACACACACTGTGTGTGTGTGTGTGTGTGTGTGTGTGTGTGTGTGTGTGACTCCCCATTAAAACCAAACCAAACTAAACAATACCTTCCTTTAGGATGTTTTTCAGCAGGTAGCTCCTCCCAAGGTCATTCAAAATAACTGTTTGAAAAAAATCGATTGAAATACAAGGTTCACAAATACATGTTGATTTAAAGTAGAGGATGGGGGGGACTGACATTCACTAAATGACCAGGGAACGCAGTGGGTCTGGCAGTCTGTCTGTCTTTGTCACAGACACAGGGGTTTAAAGAGACGGAGTCAATATCTAACAACGTCAGATACAGACTTGGGGGTGGCAGCTGGCTATGGTGGCCCAGAAAAAGCAGAGAGAGAGTTCCCACTGTGACGTGTGGCTTAGTGTGCCTACGACTGTGACATGGGCCTGGCAGCCACCTCAGGCTTCAGTAGCCACTTGGAAATGAGGATCTGGGACAGTGGCTCTCAACCTCCCTGACACTGTGACCTTTAACACAGTCCCACACAGTGTGGTGACCCCAACCACAAAATGATTTTCGTTGTTATTCCATAATTGTAATTTTGCTGCTGTTATTAATCATAATGTAAATATCTGTGTTATCTGATGGTCTTAGGTGACCCCTGTGAACAGGTTGTTTGACTCCCCAAAGGGGCCTTGACCACCCCCAAGCTGAGAACCACTGATCTAAAAGGTGACATTTCTTCCTTTGCACCTCCTCAGAGGAGCCAGTCCCACCTACATCCACGTTCTCTTCCACTTACTTTTATGTTCTTTGTTTTACAAATTCTCATTTTTAGGTAGGTGACTGTACACCAAAATCAGGAATTCTGGTGTGTGTATGTGTGTGTGTGGGGGGGGGGGGGGTTGGTTAGATGAACATTCCCTCGGCTCACATACTACATAGCAGTAGAATCCTGGCAGTATTTGTGAATCGGTTCCCCACAATGACAGCTCTGGAGCAATGGCTTCTGTGGGGACATTTCCAAGCCATGAAGACACAGGTGTAAAGGAGGCCATGGCCCCTCTATCGGCCACTCCCACCAGGACTTAGCCCCACAGACACTGTTAGCTCCTCCACCTAGACCTCACTGTCATCCAGAGAAGCTTGCACAGAGACAGCCATCTCCCAGCCAAAGACCCAGCCAGGACCATGTCCCCCTTCCTCAGGGCCCCAACAGCTCCATCCACTGCTCCCCTCAAGCACAGGACACCCAAAGGGCAGCCAATCGCCACAGCATTTTCATTTGCTCTAAGACGTACACAGAAGCGATGTCTAGTCTTTTCAGCTCCTGTTGGCTGGGTTGGCGATCAGTGAGCTATCCCTGAACATGTGCATGACGGCCACAGATGTAGGTGCCTAATAAGAGGGAGCTGTTCTTGCCGTCACATTGGCGTTCTCTGTGAATCACAGCAAAGCTGGAAAAGTTATGTGAAAATGCTTGAAGTCAGACCATACTTCCTCACGGGTGAGGACTGAAGAAACCATGTCAGTGAGAGGGAGATGCTTCTCACAAGATGTTCTATGAGAGTCATTACCTGGGAGCAAAGCCAAAAGTTTGGCTAGAAATCATACCAAGGCAAGAAGAAAACCATAGAGGAATGAGCAGTGTAAACTTCTTGATGTTTCCCTCTCCCGTTTAAGGGGAACCTGGAAACCTGGGGCCTACGTAGAGGGCTGACTGACACAGACCTCTTTGCCTCTGCACAGGGGCGCACCAGCTCAGAATAGTGGGGGATTTGATCTGTGCTGTTCTGAAATGCATAATACAAAGGCTGATTTAATTTGACAGCTAAATAACACCAAGTCCTCAAAATAAAATTACCAAGATGTAAAACAGCGTCAAAACTCCAATTAGCACTACGTCCTGGAAGCTTCTAGAGCAATCCGGAAAGATGCCATCATGAGGGAAAGGCATCAGTTCAAGCTGTACAGATTACTAAAATGTAACCCTCTAATTGAAATTGCTCAGAACCCAATATGACAAAAATAATCAGAGAAAAATAAGTGAATTTTCCCCCTTTTAAAAAAAAAAAAAATGACTCACTACAGTGACTATCTTACTGACTTAATGCAATGTTCCTTTGCAAGAACTAAAAAAAAAGGAAAACCAAAACCATGAGGCTTTTGTGTGTGTGTGTGTGTGTGTGTGCGTGTGGTGGAGGGAGGTCTCTCACAGAAAAGGCACCAAGTTCAAGGGTCATACGTGCTTGTGTTACTGGACCAGAAACAAGAATTGACCATTTGTGCAACATGTAACGGGCCTTGGGCATTGTGATGTGTATTTACACTACCCATTGGGATGGCTATCCCTGACATACCCCATCCTTTTTTCCGCCAGCCACCCCAGCCACCCCAGGTACCCCAAGTGTGCCTGGCATTTTTCACTTCGTGACGGAAGTGTCAGGTGCTTGACCCTGTGGGATCTCACTTGTCAAGAGCAATGTCACATATGGCTCTTCCGGCTAGTGTCATTTTCCTGGGTGAGGCTTATTACTGCGTCCAGTTGGAGCTGTGTGCACCAAACGGCTTGAGACTGCACTTGTAGCCACCTTGGCACTTCCAAGTGGATGTGGAAGAGTACAAGGTCCATCTGAAAGAAGCTAGAGGAAGGTGTGGCTGGATCTGGGCACGGCATTGGTTAGAGCTGGCTTGACGGAATCTCAGATGGCTTTCAGAGTCTGTGGAGGTTTGAGAGAGTTCGGCACCCATCGCACATGGTAATGCTAGCCCAGAAGATTCCAAGTCCTTGGCCATGGCCACCGCCTTTCCCTGGAAGCGTATCACATCTCTATGACCAGTCTGTCTTCATCATCACTGCTGGTGTCGCTGAACTCTACCCGGATCTGCTTTCTCGTTCCTTCCAGACTCCGCTTGCGGATAGATCTCAAGGGGGCTTCAGAAACTTCTGTGTCTCCTTGGTCAGAAGGAGCCATGACACTGGTGGGGTTAATTAATCCTTCATTGTGACATGTCCGACTCTCACTTCCTGAAGGAGCACACTGGACGGCCACTTCCCCATGGCTGTATTGGCCCCAGGAAGGAAAATCTGTCTGGGGTCTCATTTCCTCCTGGTGTGAAGCGGTTGGACTTAGGTCTGACTGCAGTATTTCTAAATGTTTTTTTCCAGGCGATCGTTTGCCAGGTGAAGGTCTCGCTGGCAGAAGCGTCTGTGCTATGCTTTCTGGTATGGCTCTTCTATCTGGGGAGCCCTGTGACCGAGTCTCCTCTGCACTATGAATCCCCAGTGTTTTGTGTTCTGTTTGTGTCCCGGCAGAAACACAGGTGGCAGCCACAGAGGTAGCAATGTCATGGTGGGGAAATGTTCCTTTAGATCTAAAGGATGGAGGTGGCTCTGAAACACCTGGGGAGATACATGGGTTGGGAACTGTGGAGACTGGATCCTGGGAAGGCGGCAGCAAAGTCCCTGGGGGTCCAACACCAAAACCCTTGCTCTGGGGCAGAGGACCTTCCTGAAACCCTGCCAAGTATGCATTGGCTTGCAGAGACAGCCCTGGCCCATTGGCATGCTCCTTCTCCGGAAAACAGTCATTATGCTCACCAGCAGATAGAGAAACCTCCTGCAACAAAGGGAAAAGAAATAGGGGGAAAGGTTAATTGGCATAAAGAACATTGTGGTCAGAAAGACAGCGCACAATGAAAGCAAGGTCCTGAGGTCCCAACGCCTCCTCCCTGAGCGTGAACCTCAATATGATGCCCTCATGAGTTTCCATTAATAACTAATCAGCACATTAACCTCAGCCAAGCTTCTGACTGATACATAGGCCTCTGTGTAAAGCCAAACAACTCCATTATCCAGCTGATCCCACACTTCCTGTCTCCTGGCCCAACTAGGGTGCTTTCACGTTGTGATAACACCCGACATATGGTAGAATCTTTCTTCTGGGGGAATTAATCACACGGACTTGAGGCTCTCAAGAAAACAAAGCAACAGTTTCCCAACCAAAGTGCACCGGTTGTATGTGTGACATGTGAAGGTCCGGTGATGGCCTCTGGTGTAAATCAACCTTCTACCTGGCTCACAACGGGCTCTCTTGGTTGTTTTTCACAGTGCACACCAGGCTATCTGGCCCCAGAGCTCTCAGGAGGTTTCCTGTCTTTACTTCCCATCTCCCTGTAGGAATGCTGATGGTACAGACCCTCAAGATACACATCCAGATTTGATATGGGTACTGGGGATTGGAACTCAGGTCCTCATACTTGAACAGTAAGTGTTTTATTAACTGAAACATCTCCCTGGCTCCAATCTTGGCTTTTTTTTTTTTTTTTTTTTTTTTTTTTTTTTTTTTGGTGTAGAACGTTTGGGATTTGTTTGTTTGTTTGTTTTAGGTTCTGGGTAGCCCTAGAAGGAGACCAGGGAATTTTACCACATAGACAGTGATATGGACATAAAGGCGTAAGTCTACATGATGGGTAGATATCCCAGAATGGTGGTTCCTACCTCCAGAGTCAACGTGTTTCTTTCCATGATGAGTTTTGAGCTTGTGCCAGGGGAGCTGGGCTCTGAAGTCTGCCGGCAGTCACCTTCCCTTTCTTTGTTCCCATGACCAGCTGGCAAGTCTGTGCTGGCACAAGACAGCTCTCCTTGCAGACTTAGACCTGAAAGAGGAAGTATGTATGCATGTACGTATGCATGTATGTACGTATAATCACGAAGTGAGCCAAGAATGACTAGGAGGCTATCCAAGTCCCCACAATGAGCCTCAGCTCACACAGTAGGGACAGGACTCTGGTTACCTTCAATTCTCACTCAGCCAAATGCACTGTCTTCACCTCCTCCAAGGAAGGAAATGGTAAAGCCAAGCTGCCAAGTTGATGACTCTATAACCTTATACATTGTAAATAGTGTTCATTGTCGTGGGGTCTATTCTCACAACAGAGTCATCCTCCATCTAGGCTTCTTGTGTTAATTTTAAAACACTTTGAGTCCTCTAGTCCTGGAGCCAGGTAGCAAGATCGGAGAACTTGCCAGACCATGGGTGAGAACGCCTTGGTCTCTACCAGAATGCTGCCAGGCAGCAGGGAATGAGATGTGTACCTAGGAAGCCGTCATTTCCTATGGCGATTGTCTCTCTGTGGGAAGGAATGAGACAGAACCGCCGCTCACACCTGCTCCCCCCTTGTCCCCCTCCCTCGCTCCTCCATTTCCTCGCAGGAACCTACGATAAGTCCAAAAGAACCACAGGGTAGCCCTTTCCGAGAAGGTAGACTGCATTATGAGATGAGCTGGGGGGGGGGGAATCTTTCTAGAATGCCTGGATCCCTGGAAGATGCACTGGGCACACTGTCAAATATGCTCTTATTTTGATTAAAGTTATACATGCACAGAGTCTGAAGGCCTCAAACCTTTTTCTACTTATTAGGAAAGCCAGCAACCCCTGCCTACCCAGCCGTATTTTTTTCACTTTGGAGTCTTCTGAGGTTCATCTCTCTCTCCCTCCTATTCCTATGCCTACAAGCTGACCTATGCCTCCTTCAAGGCCAGAAGAGAGTAGCTATCCCCCCAAGACTTCGGCTCCCTTGCACACCGCACACTTGTCATGCTTCATCCGCTTAAGCTTCCTGTGCATAGCCCTGACTCCACCCACGCCTTGTTTAGGTGGCTGCGCTAACCCAGGCACTCACCTGTCACCACTGAGCTGTGTTGAACACTAAGGTTGCATGCCCCACCCCCTTTTTTTTTTTTAAACAAAATTGTTTTCCTCGGAGTTGATAAGTTTTGAGGTCTACCACGTCTCTCTTTACCTCCCTACAAACATATTAAAATCACTCCCCAGACTCCCAAAATGCCTAACACTTGATTTCTCTCTGGACAAGCTAAAACGCATGCCTTAAGCTTGTAGTAAATGTTGTGGGCTCTCTTTTCCCATTTTAAGAAATGGAAGTGAGGGAGGGGAGGAGAAGAAGATTGAAGGAGGGAATGAAAAAGACAGAAAAGAAGTGATTGACAACGACGATGCCGACAATAAACAATGTAGTTGTCTTCAGAGGTAGTTTCTCCATTGTAGGGTCATCTGGCCACACGTCAACCTAATGCTGGGTACAATGTTACGCACTTGTAACCCTACGCTGGGGAAGGGTCTTGATGGCTGGCTAGCCTAGTGCAGTGGGTGAGCACCAGGCCAGGGTGGGGGACTTCTGTGTGAAAATAAACCAAGCTGATGGCACATCATGTCCTCTGGTCTCCCCACATGGTGTCACCTCCCCAAATCATCTTCTGTGGGCATGAGTATCACAAACCCATTCCTTAGATGTCTGAAGTACCCCGAGTTTACTGTGTACAGTAATCCTGGGCAAACCGGCTTTGATGATGAGCAGAGAAACGCGAAGGTAGCATGGGGCTCAGGAAGCAGGAAGACAGAGGATAGGGAGCTGGCAGGGAAGGGCAACTGGGAGCTGCTGTGGACAGAACAAGACGCACGAGCTGAGAGAGAACCTGGCCGCAAAGGTAGGGAAACGCCGGAGAGATGGCCAGTGACCTTTACAACGATTGCACCTGTCCACGTGCAAAAAATATTCTAGAAGGAGGAAGAACAAAAGCTAGGAAAGAATCTAGGGGCCAAGAGGCTGTAGCTAGGCCAGGGACACCAGTGTGAGGGGGTGTAAGTGAAGGGGTGGGGTAAAACGAAGGTAGAGGTGTCCACAGGGATTTCAACTCAGAGTGCAAATACCTTATGGGGGGAAAGCCAGTATTTTCAATGTAGGTCGACATTTGTTTTTCAAACATACATGAAGATGCCACCTGAAGAGTAGCCCGGAGGGGAGCAAAGCTTCAGAGTTAGGAAGCCAAGTCCCAGAGTTCCAAGGTCTCCTGGGGGCCCAGATACCATGTCTCAACCAGGTCAGTGGAAGTCAGTGCGGAGAAAGTGGGTTGACTCAGGATCCACTCCACCCTCATCAGGAAGCTGTCACAATGGCCAACACGTCTATGGCTCCGTGGTGTGTCAAGGACAGCCACTTGCTCTAAACAGATCAAGCTCCGTCCCAACAGTGACAAAATGGCAAGGCAATTCACTCAGTTTAATGAGGAAACAAAGCCAATTAGTATAGAGAAAATAATCAGATTGGCCAAAATTCTTCCCAACAGGTTGTTTGGGTTTTCAAGCTTCAGCAGAAAGGTCGTGTGCACATTTGACTGGTAACTTCTGGCTCATCTGAGCGAGCAAAGGAAGAAAATCTATTGATTTAATTTGCTTTCAACCCTACAGTCTACAGAGAAAAGTGAATTATCTCTAATAATTGTGAAAAATGCCCAAAAAATGTCACCGAAGTGTGTTAAACTAATTTGGATTATTGAAGCAGGACACTAAGTTGCCTTGAAATTGATGGCCCCTTTCAAGCCATCAGGCAAGCCAGGCTCTGCTCGGATCTTGAAGTGCAAAATGCCATCCTGTTTAGGCTCCGGCCCCACACCCTATGAATCACTTCCGCATCTCCAGAATTACAGATTCTACCGTCTCCATGCATCTTCGGAGCCTGGCTGCCCACACTCCATTACAGGGATCTTGTTAGGAGAGCTCTCGTCAGGGCTCTCCGCCGCGTGCGTGTTCTTTCCCCGATTAAAGGCCGCACTCTTAATAATTTCTCTTAGAAATAATTGTCGTGCCACGTCAGTAGGAAGAGACTGCTTAAGCGCTTACAGCAATGGCAAACTTAGCCCTCTTGAAAAGGCTAAAAGAAAGTGTAAAATAATTAAAAAGAAAACTCAGGCAGAGACAACACGACAAAACGGACACTGGAATTATCGGCCTCTTTAATGTCAAATCTGCTTCGGGCTGTCTCATTTCCAGGCCTTATTAAAATGCTAATGCATGTATTAGTCAAATATCATTATCTCAAAATGTGAGTAATTTGAATAATGCTTTTTGGTTTGTCCCAATGGCTCCCCAAGTTCCATTCATATGGAGTCCACAGACTTAGAAATCTGAAGTAGGGATAGAAACCTCCAGTATCAGCCTGCTGCCCTCCTAAGTGAGCAGAAATTATAAACAGAAAGGTGGGCTTGTCTCTGGAACTCGTAATTGATTTGAGACTAAGTTGTTCCAAAGTGTCTCTGCCATCAAAGAACACGCAGTGTGCTGGCAATTAAAACAAGCAATCACTTACAAGGAAGCTGGACAGATCTTTAAAACTAATCACATTGCGAATGGCTATTTGCTCATTTATTAAAGTATTTATTGAATCCACTTTAAGTCTGTATTTTTGAGCCCTTACTGTTGAGCTTGAGTATTGACTGGGACATTGAATGTGGCCAATATTGTTCCAAGAGCTAAGGCGTTCATTCGGCGGTGAGGGAGGATGATACCCCTCATGGAAATTACTATCTAATGGGGACAGAGATGTATTTTATTCCTAACATGTTATTGTTATTGTTGGTGGGGCATATGTGGGGTTCAGAGGACAACTTTCAGGAAATCAGTTCACTCCTTCTACTGTGTGGGTCCTGGGATTGAACTCAGGTCATCAGGTTTGCTGACAAATGCCTTTACCCACTGAGCTATGATCACACACACACACACACTATGTCACCAACCAGGTGACATGAACACTGTGAAAGATGCAGCAAGAAGATGCTCAGACAGTGAGGCGATATCCCAACCTCACCTCTAGCCACAGAAAGATTTGTTCCATCCAGGCTGTGCCTGTCCCCAGAGCTGTGTCACTAATAAATCTGAACTATTGAGCCATGTAATTATCCTACCGTGTTCTTAACGCCCCTATTGCATACCTCCTTCATTGTCTGAGGGTACCTTCATCTGTTACTGATGTCTTACTGTTTATGTAATCTCTTTAGGAAACAGTACGGTACGAAGTGGTGGCAGAGGCCCTCGGTCCTCTCGGCATAGAACACGGGCGATGCTGGATGCCGACGGCAACCAGGAAGTAAAGGGAAGCCCAGAAGTTGGTGGGTGGTTGGAGAGCTGGCAGAAACATCTCCAGCCTCCAGTTCTACCAGCAGGAGGGACCCAAGAGGGGACCAGAAAAGTATGTTTAGCGAGGCGAGCCTCCTGTATTTCTGTTCTAATGCGATTTTGGAAAGTTCTCCCTGCCATCATCAGGAACCCTTTCTTTCCACGGCCAGTTTCTCATCTCTTCAGTTGTTCTGATGAAAGGCAATCAGACGCTCCCCTCATGGACATCCTGTGCAGCGGCTATGTTTAGGACAAAATGGTGCTTAAAATCTTGCCTGGAGTCTTTAAAAAAAAAATTTAACATGTCCATTCTACAAAAGTGCACCCTTCAAACACAAAGTCAAGACAGGACTGTGCAATCATAATGGAAGGTGATTAGAGATCTGCCGGTGTTAAAAGCCAAGGTGGACCCAGACCGGCACTGCATACACACTGATTTTCAAAGTCTCTTGTTGCTGAATGAAGATTGTGTGGCATCTCTTCTTAGGATGCAATCAACATACCTGCAGCAGAGGATCATCCCTCCTTAAGATTTACACACCCAGGAACCGGGAGAAATTATTCTGTCTCAGCAGTTTCAGAGAACTGTGATTTAAATAACAGCTTTGGAGAAAGAATTAATACTCCTTCATTAATCCTAATAATAATTTTTTAAAAAGTGCAGGTAGGTCATTAGAAGAGATGTAG